GGTTAGGTTATGTGGATAGGTAAGTTTAGGTTGAGTCATGTAAGAAACACATAGGATTTGGTCAATTTATTACAATATGAATGTAATGTGACTTGCCAATTTGACGTTTTTAATACTGCTGGATTAGGTCAGATTATATTAAATGAGATTAGGTTAGGTTATGTAAGAAATACATAGGATTTGGTTAGTTTATTACAATATGAATGTAATATGAAAATGTAATGTCACTTGTCAATTTGACGTTTTTAATAAGGTTAAATTAGGTTAAGTTATATTAGGTGAGGTGCAGTATATCAATCTGTGGTGTATTCTTATTATTATTTCGATTTAACCGTCTGTTTACAAATTGTTTGTCTATTTTTCTTTCTTTATAAACATGAGGAATGAAAGCACGGCACGGCACGTCAATGCTGACATTCGGCATCATCAATTGGATTTTGATGGGTTCCAGCTGGTTGCGGTGGAACAAATGAGGCCCTTTTGTTTATGGGGTGAAAATGTAAATAAAACGCCCACGCTCAATCGATTCTCCACTTTCAATAGGAAATTCGTAAATGCAATTCAATACAAGTCCGAACAACCTCAACATGAACTACATTACCTACACTTATTCAATTGGAATCTTTTAAATTATCGATTTTTATTATACAATAATTTACAAATATATCGAAAATTACAATTTCTAATTAGTTTTCAAACATTTTATATATTTTAAAATTACAACAAATTCCTCATTGATTTAATACCTTTTTTTTACATTGCTTTTTTTTGTTATAAATAGAAATATTTTATAAATTATTACATTGGACAATTTTATTGTTTTTTTTTACGGTTTCATTTTTGTTGTGTAAAATTTATGGGAACTGTACATATAGATTTTCAATAAATAGAAAATGTAACATCAACCGAACTAAATGTAACTTTATATAATAAATTCATATTTATTACATGTTTTTTTGTAAGCCACAATTTATTATGTACATTTGAAATATATGTTTAATATTTTAAAACAAAAATCATTGAATCTATATAGAAAAAAAATTCAACAACTTTATTTTAACTAAATAGAATAACAATGTTTTTTATATAGATTGATGTTAATAACCCTGATATTTTTGCATAAGTAATCATGATATATACATCTTTAAATATGCATATTGATGCTAAAACTATGGCCTTTCTAAAGATATTACTGTTACTTATTACTATACAGTGGAACCTTGCTTAACGAGTTTAATCCGTTAAAAAAAAATCCGGATTTTTACTCGTATAGTGAAATACTTGTATAGAGAACATATTAAAAAACACATAATATGTGTACAAAAGTTTTAAAAATGATGTAGAATGCGCGTAATCCAGGACTTCTCTTCTCATCGTCACTCAATTCATTTGTTCGTTAAGTGAAAAACTTGAAAACTGTATTTTTTTAAAATATATTTTATACGACTACATCAGTTCTTCAATTGAGTTTATTTTGATAAGACTGCTGTTACGTAATGTTACTTAAAGTTTGAATTCAGATGATTATTCTAAGCTGTCTTGACTTTTTCTTTCAATACTGCTTTTATAAGATTTTTTGTAAATTTCGTTGGAAAACATGAAAACTCTATTTTTCTAAATATATATTATTTGAATTCATCAGGTTTTCCATTGGCTTTCTTTTGTTAAAACTTAATTAAAGATTGAATTATGACTATTTTCCTAAGCTGTCTTCACAATTTCCTTCAATACTATAATAAGATTTTTTTTTCAATTTTGCTGAAAAAATATTTTATCAGATCTTCAATTAACTTTAACAGATAAAACTGCTGTTACGTAATGTTATTTACAGATTCAATGATGACAATTTTTGTAAACCTAATAAGTTTTTTTTTTTTAATTTCTGCTGAAAAACTTGAAAATTTTCCATTCATATACTTTATGTGTGTATCAGGTCTTTAATTGAATTTATTTTGATAAAACTGCTTTAGCGTAATGTTAATGAGACATTGAATTTAGATTATGTTTCAAAGCTTCAATACAATCTTATTAAATTTTGCTGAAAATCTTGAAAACTGTATTTTTTTGAAATAAATATTTTATGAAAATGTTAATAACCACGCAAATATGTAAAATGTGATAAAAACTATGTATTTTTATATACTTAGGGAAATTCTACTTTAGTTATTATGTATAATACCTAATTGTAGAATGTACCACGAACATTTTTCTTTACATTATGTATGTAGTTGATGATCATGTTTTTGTAGATGATGATGATGATGTTGACGATAATGATGATAACATACCCGGTTGCTGCGAATCTGGAGAAAACCTGCATGATTTTCAGGCTGAGCTCTCGTTCTCTGGAGTTGTACTGGAGGGACATGTTCAGAGGGTGACCGAACACGTACTCTATCTCGTCTCCGTGCATGACTCCCATCCATTCGCCCCATAGGGACGTGCTCGTCCGCTGCAAAAGACGCCTTTGTGATAGATCGTATTGATACAAAGCTTCTCTCTCTCCATCCCTCTCATACACACACACATCAACACACAAACACAATCCCATTCTCTCTCCAACTCCCAGCATACAACTACAGACTACATCCCCAAAGCCACAACGCACACATCTTCCTCCTTTTCCGATACCAAACCTGATCCTCACTGTGTCTCTCTCTCTCTCTATCTGCTTATACATATATACACGCAAACAAAGATTAAGATCATAAATTCAAAACGGCAACGCCCTTTTGTCCTGGCCAGAACCCAACACCTAATTACATCCTCAACGAAAACCAAAGAAAACGCTTGCGTCGTAAAAGATAATCGCATATATCCATCGTGCATGCAAAACGCTCGGGCTTCTATGACAGAAGTTAATTTCGTGAGCGGAAAGTCGCTCTTTGTATTGTGCACACCTTTGAAGCTCCGCACAATTCCCAACCAGGTGAATATGTGTGTGTTGATATGCTGTTTTCGGAAACCTTTGTTCCGTGTCTCTGATACAGCAACAACAACGCTCTGCAAATGCCAGCACTCAAATTCTTCATTTGATCTCCAGAAATAAAATACCTCTAGTTAAAAAGTGCAGTAAAATATAAAAAAAAATCTATTTTTTATTGTTTTAATAAAGAAATCTAATAACTGGAGTTTTGGGTTTGAGGGGTTGAAAGGAATTGTTTGTGTTTGTGTCTATACCTGAGATAACAAAATAGAACTTATAGAAAAATGCGATTTACATATACATGGGAAAATATAATGGAGCGAGTATCGTAAAATGGAATTGAGGGCAATTTCTTCTCTCTCTCTCTTTTTTTTATTATTATTTTTTGTTGTGCTCTTCTCCTCATACTTCGGGGGAGGACCGCGCACCCCGAGAGCGTGAGTATCGCCATTGAAAATGCATCACGAAGTGCTTTTCAATATTTCAAAATCCGTGGAGACATTCTCTCTCCAAACCCTTCTTCGATCATCTCTATCTCTCTCTGTTGCACGTGCTCTGTAAGTCACATCCTTCAAGTTTTTCCACCTAGGTTAGGGAGAAAATTGAATATCCAAATCTATATATTATTACCATCATTTTACAGCTATTAATATACTTGAAACTATATATTTATTACTACGCAATTGTACATTTGAAATGTACATTATTTGATAACTTATTACAAATTCTTGTATCAATTTAATTTAAAAATTGTATTTAACAAGTATATTTGTTTGACAACTTGGTATAGTTCTTAAGGCTTGTATATTAATTTTAAGTATTTACATTTTATTTGATTATGTAACTTATTTGATAACTTGAACAAATACTTCTGCCTATAAACTGATTTAAAATGTATACGTTTTAATGAAAATGTGTGCAATAAAAATGCAGGTGTTAACGCAGGTGTTTCTTATCGCAGGTGTTCAATTAAAACGCACGTGTTCATTCAGAAGTTCAATTAAACGCAGGTGTTTCCTATCACAGGTGTTCAATAATAATGCAGGTGTTCATTCAAAAGTTCAATTAAACGCAGGTGTTTCCTATCACAGGTGTTCAATAATAATGCAGGTGTTTAATTAAAACGCAGGTGTGCATTCAGAAGTTCAATTAAACGCAGGTGTTTCCTATCACAGGTGTTCATAAAAATGCAGGTGTTCAATTCAAAACCAGGTGTTCATTCAGAAGTTCAATTAAACGCAGGTGTTTCTTATTACAGTTATTCAATTAAAACGCAGGTGTTTCTTATTACAGTTGTTCAATTAAAACGCAGGTGTTTCTTATTACAGTTGTTCAATTAAAACGCAGGTGTTCATTCAGAACTCATTTAAAATGTGTACTTTATAATGAAAATGTGTTCAACAAAATTGCAGGTGTTCACGCAGGTATTCAATTAAAACGCAGGAGTTCATTCAGAAGTTCAATTAAACGCAGGTGATTCTTATAACAGTTCTTTAGTAAAAATGCAGGTGTTCATTTAGAACTGATTTAAAATGTGTACTTTATAATGAAAATGTGTTCAACAAAAATGCAGGTGTTCACACATGTGTTCAATTAAAACGCAGGTGTTCATTCTGAAGTTCTAATGAACGCAGGTGTTTCTTATCACAGGTCTTCAGTAAAAACGCAGGTGTTCATTTAAAACGAAATTGTTCACTTAGAAGTTCAATGAAACACTGGTGTTTCTTATCGCAGGTGTTTAATTAAATGCAGGTGTTCACAAAAACTTTACTAAATTTAATAAATAATAGAATTAAAAAAATCATGTTTATGATGATGCATGTATACTGAATTACTAATAAAACATGGCTCGTGTACGTAGATTAAATTTTACCCTTCTGCTCTAATTAGCAATAAAAATCATACTCTTTAAATGTTTCTGTTGTGCGGAGGAAAGAAGCGAGCGTTAAATATGTATGCTCATAATGTTCGCAACGCTTTTCTGGGCCAGTGAATTATTCATGGGTCCAAAAAGGGATGAAAAAAGGGCTGGAAACAACAGCTCCCCCTACTTAGATATTTATATTTTTTATTATGTTATTTTTTTCTTTGTATACACAAAATAACCGCGAGATGATGAGAACAGGGGTTATTTTGTGCTTGGGGGAGATGTTGGAAACGGAAATAAATATATTATTACCTCTAAGAACCGAGGATCAATTCTGTTCGTTGAACGAACGTCGGTACATTGAACTATAATTTCACTTAAACGTAATATAAAACAATTTTCTGTACATTAAAGTCTATGTTCTATGCTTTGAGAAAACGTCGAATAAATCATGAATAAGTGGTTTGTGTGTAGTATATTTATTAATAATGATATTGTTTCATGCCGACATGCATATCAAATTCCAACAATTGGAAGTGGATGCGCCGGGTAATTGTATATTGTCTACATCTAATTAAATATAATAATACTTAAAAAGTGAAGAAAATTTATAAATTTGTTATTTTAACGTCAATTAATTATTTAAATTTTGTTTAATAAACGCTATTTTTACTGCTGTGAGAGTTGGGAGCCGCAAAACAACAAGATTAAGCTCTTAATCTTATTGTAGAGCCACACGTTGCCGACACTTGGAAAAGGGAATAGTTTTGATATTTATTTATTTTTAGTTAATTTTGAAGAAATCTATTGTAGAAAAAATATTCTAAAATGAAATATTCGTGAGAAAATCTTGTTACAGTTATTCGGAAATAAATATATTAATTTACTTGAATGAAAATGAAAATTGTTGAATTAATTTTAAATATTCGAGAAAAATATTGTAAAATTAAGTTATCTTTCTAAAAATTATGAATAAAATGGGAAAATTCCGATATAAAGTATAAAAAAGTTGATAAATTAAAAATAAATTCTAAAATTGATTAATACTTTCTGAAATAATGAAAATAAGGTAAAAATTGACAATATTACTGAATTAAAAATGTGTAAATTCTGTAATTTTTTTGAGATAAATATCAAAATATAAAGTACTTTTTCAAAACTTTTTTCAGGATAATTTACGTAAATATAGTAATAAATTTCAAAAACATTTCAACTAAAACAAAAAGAAACATATAAAATAATGATTTTCCAATGAATATGAATATTAATAAACAATGACCAATAAAAAATATTCACTTGAATGGATACAAAATGCAAATTGCTGCAAACTTGCAAAATGAAACAAAAAAAAAATCAACTGCACGGTGTAATGATTCCATTTATTGCCATGGCAATAAAACAAATAAAATGGAGTTTACAGAGTGAACATGAAAAGAGAGAACATCGGAAAAAGTACGCGGAGAGAAATGAAAATCGATGGAAAACGTACACACACCAAATAACAAACAAATAAAAAATATATATGAAAGAAGAAGAAGGAAAAAACGTCAACGAGAATGTTCGTAAACCATGAGAAATTTTCTTTTAAATGCTCCACCTGACGCTTCAAATGAAACGTTAAATGGTTACAAGGTAAAATCAATAATCAGACGATCCGTTTAAACTGTTTCAGGTCCTTTCGTTTCAGTTAACTACAATAATACCCGACTATTTGGAATCGATTATGCAATTAAGGATTGGTCTTTATAATGTTAGGGAAATCAAGGGTATTATAAAGCTTATAATTTGAAAGGAAATCTAATATTATTGAAATAAAATTCCTAGTATTTTCATTCAAATAGTAGCAAATAGTAGTGACGAGTAATCATTTTATTTTGTATGGAAAAACTGGAATTTTTGATATCTAATAACGAGAAAAATATTTTATAAAAGCAATGTTGATTATAACTTTTTGATTTGTAACATTTGATATTTTTTTTATAATATTAATTAAAATTGAAACATTCTTATAACATGTTAAGCTTCTTATTGTCAAGACAAAGATTAAGACAGTAAAACACAAAAAAAAATAATATTATAAGTAGATTGACTGGAACCGCATTAAATCGAATAAACATAAACCGGGATTCCCTAAAGATCTTTGTTCGTTCTTTCAATATCATTGTTACCAGTTAATCGAATATTTCTGTGCGGAGGGTGGAAGAAAAGCCTCGCTCCTCGAATTTGCATTATTAAGTTTCTATCCATTAAGCGACTGGATGGCTGCGAACGGAATGCAAAACAATAAGAACAAGAAAAAAGAAAAAGGAGGACGAGAGAAAAGAAGGAAATTGTGTGCGTTTTCGGGAGAGGGGTTGAGCAACGTTTTGAATAATGGATTTCGTTTAATTTATGCAATAATAACATTTTCCTTGAAACGGAGGCAAAGGACCTGTTGTATGGAAAAAGGGCGCAGCTTCTCTACGAAGATTCCTCTGAATAGATAAACTTGCTTTATTGGTCTCGCGGCAGCTTTTCTTGCTGCAAACATAATTACACGCCGCTTAATTGTTTTATGTTTTCAGACTTTAAACTTCTTGGGGGAGGTAATAAATAAGCGGTTAGTTTCTTCTTGGTTTGGGGAATTGCAACCCGTTTCGTTCATTTGGTTGAGTTTCAA